TCGTGCCATCAACAAAACCAGTCTTGTTCTTGCCATCAAGATCCATGAACATGGCGCGTCGCCATGAATTAAAATTGTCATTGGTTAACGGTTGTGAAACCAAAACAACCCCAAGATGGTCCGAGGAATGAAGGTAGTAAGAATCGTCATGATTCGCCATGAAAAGGCACAAGAACACGTGATGAAGAAAAAAGAGAAAAGAAAAGGAGCATAAGCAAGAAAAATACAAAATATACTTCTGATACTATATTATAGTATATAAATATATGAAATGGAATATGAAGATGAAAGCTTCATAAATGTGTACTGGCCACATTACAAGGATGATAGATTACTTATATAATAAGGCAATGAAGTAGTATAGTGAGTTACACACTATAACTAACATATGGTTAGCCAGTTATTCAACAAACTATTCTAACTACTTATTACAATAATAGCTATATCATAATAAGATGACCAAAGAACTCCATACTGCCCTAACAAAAGGTAGTGTAGACATGTGGTGAAGCATAAATTTTTATTTTTAAGTATGGTCATATATTGAATTGGTTTGGATTCTAGAATCTAGGAGTTTTAAAACACGTTATGGATTATATATAATTCAAAAATGTTTTTACAATTTCTAGAAGTTCTTTGAGCTATTCAAGGAGAGATTTGAGAGAACATAAATTTAAGCGTGATAATAGACATTTAAATCAAATGAGTGAGATGTTAGATTAATTATTTAATTAATCAAATATGGATTGACATAATTAATTATTAATTAATTATATTATGGTCTATTATTATTAGACACTAAATAGATGAATTATTTGATTGAATTTTGTGCTTGAATGGACCGTAATGAGTTGGACCATTCAGTTAAGCTATTTAAGTGACGTTTACCCGTAATGAGTTGGACCGTAATGATTGAATTTTCCGCCCTTATCCGTTTAGCTATTTAAGTGTCTTCCCATTAGACAATTAACTCACTCCGAAAATCCAAAACGACAATGAGGGTAGTAATTCTCTCATACTCACACTCTTTCGACAGCCGTCTCTCAAATCCTACAAGGTACATCGTTCTTATTATTGTTGATCATTCTTTAATATAATAATATGTTATAATTTGTATCTATTAAATTAATTTAAATTCTTCAATTGGTATCAGAGTCTGTTTAGATACATCTAATAGCTATTATGAATGAAAATTTTATAAGTGTTAGTGTATTTGTATTGACTACTCAAACAAAATAGTTATAGTTTTGTTATGACACCGTATTATTCCCATACATTCTTGTTTCTTCAATTTTTCATATCTTTGGTGTAAAGAAACTATTGCACTATTAATTTTCATTGAAAAATACTACGAAGCCTAATTTTTTGAAACTGACATTTTGGTTTGACGAAGAAGTATGATTGCATTTTATATTTTATTTTAATAATTTGAGTGACAATTCTTTACATCTCTGTTTTATCTTTTAAGAAAATGCATTTAATACTTTGATTAAAATCTAATAAATGTGTTGAATGAATCCTTAAAACCAATACTTTGTCATCCAATTTCAAACAACCGTAATTGTTTTCGATTTTAATATGAAATTCTCTTTTATGTTAGTGAATATGATATTGACCTATAATCTTTTTCCTTTTTGGATAATATATGTCAAAACCTTGTATAATCTTGTATAATAAATTTCAAATAAAAGTCATTCATATTATGTCCTAATAAATGAGGCTCTAGGTTTTCATATAAGCTTCAACAACTCTCTCCTAAGTTGATGCCAAATAAATAGTATTAGATATTCTATTTATTTTGATGTTTTGATATATTTCAATATTTAAATATTATATGTTATAAAATGATTGATTTAATTTAAATTTTAAATATATCTAAAATTTTCATATATAATGATTTTGAGATATTCTTTAGTAAAATTAAATTGTATTATCCTTGAATTATGATCATTTATAAATAGAGTTTTATATTTTGATATAATGATTTATTCTTTGTTTATGAATCATTTTGAGATGATACTAATATATTCTAAAAGTCATTAAAGTTTAATAACTCTACTCAAAAGGATAAATATCACATTCTCCCCGAGGTTAGTTGTATTTGATTATTTATTAATTTTTAATCTCTTGTGACTATTATATAATAATTTCATACAAGGAGTAATTTCTTAAAATATTATTCACTTCCTTTTTGAAATTAAAATTATGCAATTATATATATAAAAATTTGAAATTTTATTATTTTATGACTTTTATTATGGAAAATTAAGTAATCAATATTAATTTGTATAATTGTAATTTCAGCTATCGTGGATACAATTATATAAATTTTCCTATTTTGAATAAAATATAAACATTATTAATTCGTATAATTGTAACACATCTATAGTGGGTATAGTTATACAAATTTTGTTTATTAAAATCATTAAATTAATTTTAATTATAATAAATACTATATTGATAATAGTTATACCCTATCGGTATGTTATTATTAATATAATTGTTTTGTTCAATGTACTTATGATTTTTTATTATGTAAATTATAGTTTGAGTACCCTATCGGTATTAGAATTTTTGGTGGCATAAAATTTATACATTGTTATATTTCTTATTTAATATTATTAAAAGTATTATTTGAGAAATAAAAAATTATTTTTTGAAGACATGTAATACTTTATGAAATTCAATAATCTTTTTTTTTATTAAAATAGATTTCAATTCTATATGTATTATGTAAGTGATGGACATACTTTATCGGTGTAACGTTACTTGACATGATTATTGTGTGATATAGAAAATAGTTGAATATTTGTTTAAATATTTTAAAATTCTAATATTAATAACTCAACTATTATTCTCCATCAAGTGGGAGAATTTAACATGTCAATTATATAAAAATCAGAAACAAATATTATTTGTTTAATATATAGTATTATTTTATAGAGACTTATATTGAAGATATTTTAGTCTTATGCTATTGATAAAAATTTATGATTACTTGTGCTATATCCTCAATATTAAATTTGATTAAAGTCTCGTATTTTTCCGCCGCGTATAACGTATTATGTTTCTCAAATGTGTGTAGTTATGTTTGTAGCATTTGAGTTTTGAGCGAGTTATTAATATATTGTATAAAATCCTATATTCTATTTAAAATTATATGGATTTGATCTCACTTAAAAGATGATAAATCTTTTATATGACCATCATATTCTTTCATTTGAAATTATCTAAACAATGATATATTATATTTACGTGCAAAATATGTGGTTGAGTTTATAAAACTATAGAACCGCTTATCTGTATATGTATAATTTTGCAGCAAAATAAAATTAATACCCCATTGTATAATTAGAGTATTTAATACTAGTGGACTATGATAAATCTTTATTCTATTAGATCAGTGGGAGTGCATGTGTACACAATCATATAATTTAAAAAAAATTTGGATTATTATTCTCATAGTGTCATATATTCTTGCGCACATTGTAAATCTGATATATTCTAAAAAGACTTCAAAATATGAAATAATTATAAGAAGTCTATACTGAGATATATATTATTCTCTTAATCTCATAAAGCATCATAATTTGATGTTTAAGTTGATATTGAAAAGACACAATAATTCTTTAGCATATCGAGTATGATATTGTGTTATGAAGGTGTTTATGATTAAATGTAATTACTCTCCTAATAGGGTATCCCTATATGTAATTATTATTCTTAGACCTATTCTATGACCTATAATTTAAAACTCATTAGTATAATCACTAACCATAGACTTATACACATGAGTAAGTCTTATGATACTTTGCGTTAGTGGGAGTCTATCAAAAACATTTTCATATGCTTGGACGATTCTTTATAACATATTACTCTTAAATTAAATATGTTATTTTAAATTTATCATTCTTTATATAAAGTTGTAAGATTTAACATGTATGATTTGTCTTCCCTATCGGATACAATTTCCGCAGCGTTGAAATTTATTTCTTTTTTATTAATTAGTGATTTGACAATTATTGATATTCTAATACTAAAATCAATATTTTTAATAATTAATTATTGTCATCCAAGTGGGAGATTGTTAGATTAATTATTTAATTAATCAAATATGGATTGACATAATTAATTATTAACTAATTATATTATGATCTATTGTTATTAAATACTAAATACATGAATTATTTGATTGAGTTTTGTACCTGAATGGACCGCAATAGGTTAGTAATTCTCTCATACTCACAGTCTTCCGACAACCGTCTCTCAAATCCTACAAGATACATCGTTCTTATTATTGTCGATTATTCTTTAATATAACAATATGCTATAATTTGTATCTATTAAATTAATTTAAATCCTTCATGAGAGACTAATTTAGACGTTTTTGATGGATCAATGATTAATTTGGCCTAATAAAATTTTATTTCAACTATTATTCTCAAATTGACAATTGTAAAGACACGTCATCCCTTTAATCTAATTCTTTAGCAATCAACAAATCAACTATGAATCAAAATGAGTAGAAGAACTAATTTGCCACATGTATAAAATGTAAGGAATTTTTGTTTTGTAAGAGACTAATTTGAATTATTTTCTACACATCATTACTAGTCCATTAGAATTTCTATACATTACTCAACTTCAATAATGATCCCTAATAGAAAATGTTGTCCTTTTAGAATAAATGAGTAAGAAACATACAAGTGAGTAGCTCCAAAGAGGTACAAGTGGATTTTAATTTATCTTGATAAGGGACTACCAACCCAATGAGTGACAGAAAGACTAATGTCTGATTTTTGACATAGAAAATTGACATGCACATTGCTAGTGCTTTGCACCATCTAGTATAGTGTGAGATTGGTGAGGTGAGAGCACCAAATCCTAATGAGTAGGAAAAGATCCTCTCACATATTACCACTATAAAACCATTCAATGCATTTACATTACTTTTTTGACTCAAATTAAACAAACCACTATATTTCATATTAGCTAGAAATATGAATGTTCTTTTCTTCATCCTCAAATTCCTATCTTTCTTTCTTCTAACTACCACTTCTTCCTTGTTCATCAAACAATCTCAAATAAATGCTGAAACCTATCAATCTGATAGAATAACTGATTTACCAGAACAACCTTCAACACCATCAGTTTCACACTTTTCAGGTTACATCAATGTCAATGAAGATCATGGAAGAGCACTTTTTTATTGGTTCTTTGAAGCTCAATCTCAACCCTCTAATAAGCCTCTTCTTCTTTGGCTCAATGGAGGTCTTTCATCATTTCATATTAGTTTAATCATCAAACTACTTTAGCGAGTCCATCGTTTTCAGCTTATTTTCATAAATTTTTTCCGCGTGAATTAGGACCTGGATGCTCGTCGATTGGATATGGTGCTGCTGTCGAGATAGGACCTCTTTTAGTCGATAAAAATGGCGAAGGACTATTATTCAACCCATACTCTTGGAGTCAAGGTTTACATTTTCTTTCCATTTAGCTGCACACAGTAGTTTGTTGTTCGTTTATCTTCTATTTCTGTAAGATGTTGTGATAATAAATGTTGAAAAAAAAAAAGACTAATGATCTCATTTCACCATTATGCAGAAGCAAATTTGTTATTTGTGGAATCTCCGGTTGGAGTTGGATTTTCTTACACAAACACTTCTTCTGATCTCACCATTTTAGAGGATCATTTTGTTGGTGAGTTTTCTTTGCATAATCTAATCTAATCTAATTTTGTTCAAGTCACTATATTTAATTACAAATCACTTGAATCAGCTGAAGATACCTACAATTTCTTGGTGAATTGGCTACAAAGATTTCCACAGTATAATTCCAAGGACTTTTTCATCGCCGGAGAAAGCTATGCAGGTCAGTGTTTAACTTCATTTTTATTATAAGTATGTCTTTTTCAATCACACGGTTAAAATAAACAATTCAGATTAAAGACGTGTCTGATGTCTGATATGACTCTGCTCTGTTTCAGGCCACTATATCCCTCAGCTTGCAGAGTTAATCTTCGACAGAAACAAAGATAGAAATACATACTCCTTTATTAATCTTAAAGGTTTTATTGTAAGTAAATTCTCCTAAACCATAAAAGAACCGAAAATAAAGACATGTATAAATTATCTCCAAAAATTTGAGACGACGTGATAAATTTATATAAGTTTTTTTCAGGTAGGGAATCCTGAAACTGAAAACTTCTATGACTCAAAGGGCCTTCTAGAATTTGCATGGAGTCATGCAGTTATATCAGATGAGCACTATGAGAAAGCAAAACAAGTTTGTGATTTTAAACAATCTCAATGGTCTAATGAATGCAATCAGGCCATCAATGAACTCTATCATTATTACTCAGAAATTGACATATACAACATTTACGCACCGGCATGTCTATTAAATACTACATCCTCCGTAACAAATAATGTCGATTATAGGTTCCAGAGAATGAGAATTTTTGGAGGCTATGATCCTTGTTATTCCTCCTATGCAGAAGAATATTTCAATAGAGTTGATGTTCAATCATCTTTACATGCAAATACTAAAACTGAAAACAGTACCACATCATGGAAGGTTTGCAAGTAAGCATTATCTATGAAGTTCAGACACAAACACAGACACAGACATAAATACCGGACACGACACTGACACTGACACTAGTAAAATAATTTTAAAAAATAAATAAATTGAATATTAGTTTTGATGTGTGTCTCATTTCACAGTGCTTCCATATTGAGGACATACAATTTCTCTGTTTTTTCTGTCCTACCAATCTACACCAAACTCATTAAGGATAGTGACCTTAAGATATGGATTTACAGGTATATCTATTAATTATGACTTTATGGTTACATGTTTTTGAATTTAATACATGCAGTTGAATAGAATTTTTAGGCATCGGTGAAAGAGTCACGAATTCATGTTGATTTTTTAATTAATAGTGGTGATGCAGATGGTAGAATACCTGTGATGGGGACACGTTATTGTATTGAAGCTCTTGAATTACCTCTAAAGTCTACTTGGAGGCCTTGGTACCATAATAATCAGGTTATTCGATTTTTATTAGTTAAAGATGAATAAATGAGATATTACTGATTCAAATTTACGGATATTAAATTGAATATTTTTACGACTATTAACTGAACTGAATTAACGAGATAACGATACGAATGAAATGCAGGTTGGAGGAAGGATAGTGGAGTATGAAGGATTGACATATGTGACAATAAGAGGAGCTGGACATTTAGTGCCTCTAAACAAACCAACTGAGGCTTTATCTCTTATTCATTCTTTTCTAACTGGAGAACATCTTCCTACTACACGTTAATCATCAATGTGTGACATATATTTAAGTTAAATAAGTTTAAATATTTAATAAATATGGATTGTTTAAATTTAAACTCATATTTATATATTTAAATATATAAGTTTGTTTATATTTAAATAGGGTAACGAGTTAAGTTGATATTAGGTTTTGTTTTGAGACAAGTTATTTTAATTATGTGTTTAAATATGTCAAAATTAATGTAAGCTTGTAGTGATAAAAATATTTTCAATCATAGAAATAAAAATATTTAATGTAGTATAATAATAGAGGTATAGTCAAATTATATAAGTGTTTTAATATAGGATAATAATAGAGGTATAGTCAAATTATACAAGTGATGTTGAATTGTAATTTTTTGTATTGAAAAGGTTGTTTGACAGGAAAAAGGAAGTTGTCGAATAGCTTAGTGTGTATGTTGAAACACTTAGTTGTCGAAATGTCGAGAAGTTAGTTTTAACGTGAATTTTGTCTTAAACCTAATTTTATAGTGTTGACAGAATTAAGCAAGCAAAATTTATACATATGGAGTAACTCTATTATTATAAAAGTGGTTCACTTGAATAAAATTGCAGTTTTGAAAGCAGAAAGTTACTCTGCAAAAATTCTCCTTCTTCCCCTATTTTAGTTTTGAATCCCTAATTTTTTTCCTTCCCAATTCAATCTTTTCTTGATTTCACCACCATTAGATTCACTCGAGTGAAGAGTGAAGAACAAAATTTGACCAGTGTGATTGAATCTTGTTCATCAAGATTGATTGGAAATTACTCAAAGTCTTGGGTTTAATTCTAACATCTGGTATCTAGAGCACTGGTTGAGCGATTTGTAGGAACCAAAACACGATGACAATGGCAACGAATCATCCAAATGGACATTTTTCAGCGAGTCTCTCAATTCTGAAGGGTCAGAATTATGAGAACCGGTGTAAACAGATGAAGGTAGTTTTCTGTTATCAAGATCTTTGGGATCTTGTGAAGGAAGGAGTAACAACACTTGCAGAAAACACGTCAGATCAAGAAAAAGTTGCATACAAAGAATTGAAGAAGAAAGATTATAAAGCTCTCTTTATAATCCATCAATGTGTTGATCCAGACAATTCCAAAAAGATCAGTGATGTAGAATCGTCAAAAGAAGCATGGGAAATTTTGGAGAAATCATTTGGAGGCGGAGAAAAGGTGAAAGAGGTGAGGTTACAAACTCAAAAGAGAACTTATGAATTACTTCAGATGGAAGAAAGCGAAAACATAACTGATTTCTTCAATGGGGTTATAAAACTGGTGAATCAAAACAAGGTATGTGGAGAAGTGTTGACATCAAGATCACTTATTGCAAAGATCTTGAGATTATTGGCTCTAAAGTTCGACCACGTGGTAGTATTCATAGAAGAGTCAAAAGATTTGTCAACATTGACAAAGAAAGTGCTTCAAGGGACGCTTGAATCTCATGAACAAAGAATGATTGAAAGAGCTGCAAGTAAGTCGAAAGGTGATATGGCTTTGCAGGCGCAATCAATAAGAGAAAAGAAAGGCAAAGGGAAGTAGTTCGACAACAAAGGAAGAGGAGGCCACAATAATTTGACTGATCGAAGTCAGCAAGAAGGAGGCCGATCAAATCAGAGAAAGCCCTCATACCAAAGCAACCAAAGAGGTGGTGCTATAGGTATAAGAAAAGGTGGTGGTCGTAAACTTGATAAAAGTCACATTATGTGTTTGAATTATCAGAAGTATGGTCACTACTCTAATGATTGTCCTGAGAAACATAAGATTTAAGATAATGATGCAAAGTTTGCAAAGCATGAAGAAGAAGAGATGTTCCTAATGGTCACAACAAGAGAGGAAGAAAGATTCCAGGACCAATGGTACTTGGACTCAAGATGCTCATCAGACATGACTTGTAGGAAGGATTGGTTTGTCAACATAAAACCCTCAATGAAGAACATGGTAAAATTCGTAAATGACAATACTCTAGCAGTTGAAGGTATTCATGTTCTGATTATGAGGAAAGACGACAAGAGGTCATTAATTTTCAATGTATTGTGCGTACCACGCATGAAGAGTAATTTGCTTAGCATATGGCAATTAGTCAAAAACAACTACAAGGTGTCGGTCGAAAATAAGATTATAAGAGCTCTCGACTCAAGTGGAAGGTTAATCTTGAAGGCTCCTATGTTTCAGAATAAAACCTTCAAGATTGAACTTAATGTGATGGAACACAAGTGCCTTGCAACTGCAGCTAGCAGGGATGAATGGATATGGCATTACAGACTTGGCCATCTCAACTTTAAAGACATCAGAGATCTAAAGAAAAGAAATATGGTTTCTGGGCTACCAAAAATTAAAATTCCAAACAAAGTGTGTGAAGAATGCGTGCATGAAAAGCAATAGAAGAACAAATTCAACAAGGATGCAGGAAGCAAGTCGAAGATAATATACTCTGATGTATGTGGCCCTATTCAGGTGGATTCAATTGGTGGTAACATATATTTTATCACATTCATAGATGATTTCAATAGAAAATTATGGACTTGCCTGATCAAGAAGAAAAGTGAAGTGATCGAGGTATTTGCCAAGTTTAAATATATGGTCGAAAGACAAAGTGTTCGAAAGTTTAAAATTCTGAGGACTGGTGGTGGTGGAGAATATGCGTCGAAAGACTTCGATACATTATGTGAGAAAGAAGGGATTATGCATGAGGTGGTGCCACCCTACACTCCAGAGCAGAATGGAACGACAGAAAGAAAGAACATAACCATCATGAATATGGTGAGAAGTATGTCGAAAGGAAAACATCTATCCAAATGATTATGGGGAGAAGTTGTGTTGACTGCAACATATATTTTGAACAGATGTTCGACGAAAAGGCTAGAAGGAATCTTGCAAGAAGAATGTTGGTATGATGTCAAGCCTATCTCGAGTCATCTAAAGGTATTTGGATCTATAGCATATCAACATGTACCAGATCAGTTGAGAAGAAAGCTTGATGACAAGTTGAGTAAAATGATCCTAATATGATATCATTCAACTGGAGGATAGAAGTTATTTAACCAAGTGAACAAGTGTAACACGGTGGGAGATCTGACTTGGTGTTTTTGTTTGACAAAAACATGTGCGGATAGCAAGAGTCGCCACCGGCTTTTATTTTATCCAATAGGAAAGGCTATAAAAGAACAGGAAAGACCTTTTTGAAAAGATTTTGAGTTCGGGGGTAGGTTATATAAAGGGAAGGTGTTAGCACCCTTTATATCCATGGTTATCCATGGGCTCTTAGTTACTTAGCTCACTTGTTTGTTTGAAAAGTAATGTGAAGTGTATGTTTAGAAAAGATTTCTAGAAGTTCTTTGTAGTGATCCTCGTATGGATGTATACAAAGCCTTGAGTTTGGAAATATTTTGAAAGTGGGGTGTAAAGAATGTTTTTTTGAAAAAAGTGAGCAAGTATTTAAGTGCTACCTACCCTAAGTTTGTAAGGTCTTTCTTGTTATTTATTTCCTTTAAGGGTAAGACTGTCCTTACTATTAGTGAGTAAGTAGTCTTTACCTTAGATGTTAAGGGACGGGCGTAGGGTCATCGTATGGTCAAAGAAGGAAACATGTAGGAGTGTCTTAGTAATTCGAAGGGACTATCATTATTTTTGTAGGGTCATCGAGGGACAAGATCATTTATTCCGTAGGCAACTTCGAAGTGACTATGATCCTTTTAACTTTAAAGAGACTTGATGATTTATCTGTTTGCAGGGACATCGCTTAAAACACCCATACGTTCGAGGGACTTGACCATATTAAGGAAACCAAGAGGGGTAACCTTAAGAGGTGTAGATGACGGTCGTGGAACGATCGACTTACGTGTGTGAGTGATTATTTTCAGATATTTCTTTTATTATTGATTCTCTAAGTCCAATTTATTCAATTAAATCTTTTCACGTCCTAGATTACTAACCAAGCAATTAAATATTTATGAAAACAAAAAAAAACAAGAAATAAAGTCCTAAACTATTACACGACTTCGGGGCAATTACAGAATAATCGGTGCGAAAAAATAAGTTACATAAGGAAAATCCTATACAATCTTCTAAATAATATAAATAAAGAAATAAAAATAAATTAAGTTAGGAAATTAATTGTTTTAAAAAAAAAGATCAAGTTTAGAAAATGAGGGTCTAATTAGGGTTAGTGAAAAATTAGGGTTTTTAAATTGATCTAAACCTAGTTATATTCATTTACAATTTTAATTAATAAATTAAAAAAAAAGTTATGTGAGAGAAAAAAAATTTTATATTATAAAATTTATTTTAAGAAAAAATAATTAGTGAGTAGTTAGTAAAGATTAATGGTTAATTAAATTAATAATAATGTTTTAATAATAATAATTATAAAACATAAAAAAAGGGAAGAAATTTACTAAATAAATGGGGGAAGGCCTGAGAATGTGCGTACGAAGAGTTTCGACTCTTGAAAAGCTTATGCCTTAACCATGGCATTTCTTGAAACCTGCATCATATCTTGCAAACAAATGATCAAAACAAACCTAAACATGATTACGAAGATCATTATGAACAGAAAATATGATAAAGTGCAATGAAATCAAAGATTAGAAAGCAAAAAAGAAGAAGAATGAGAGGCGACATATTCATGGGATGCACTTCGTGAGGTCTCAACCTTCAAGTCTTTGTGGGATAAGTTCCTAGGATCTTGAGGAATGTGAATGGACTTGTAGAGTTGATTGAATCTTATTGCAAAGCTGTTTTAAGATTTTTCTAAGGTTCTTATGGCTTCCAAAAAAAATTATCTCCTTCTTTTTCATTCTGAATTTGTTGTGTATATAAAGTAGTGTAAATTAGGGTAAACAATTGGCCCTTGGTTGGAGTTTATGGGTTGCTTGAAGATGAAGGAGCCAATTATCATAATTTTCAAAAAAATCAAATTAAATCATACCATATTGGTCTTGAATGAATTTGGATGACTTCAATCACTTTGAATACCATATATTTGATCCCAAAATAAATCTT